GTGTGTAGGGGGAAAAGATGGGATTAACCCACTAGCTCATATGAACATATGAGCCCAACGGCCCAGATTAGATATGGGCCGATCTGACGATCATGGATGTCCGGTAGTGATTGAATTTTTTTTTTATATATATACAGAGCCAAATCACTTGAAATTTTAAGTGTATGTTATTCTCATCCAGCAGCACCAAATAAAATACAAAAAAAATTATCTGCAAAAAATAAAATGACCAAAATACCTCTCAAAGTTTTTCGGGGGTATTTTGGTCAATTTATTTCATATAAAATATTTTTTTGCTATTTTTCAAAAATTCACCTATTTTTTATGAACACACTATTAAAATTTCAATTGATTTGAATTTACACATGTCGGTACCCCCACGAAGCGATAAATGCATCTCTTTCATGCGCTTCTTTCCGCGCCTCAACAGTGTAATTAGTGGTGCGAGCATCATCTCTGTTGAGCATGGAAGTTGGCAATAGATATGTGAGCTTAAAGAAGTACATCAATGGCGAGCCATGTGAATCTGACCTTGAAATCAAGACTGCAACCCTCTCTCTAGAGCCCCGAAAGGGTTCAGGAGATGTGATTGTGAAGAACCTCTATCTCTCTATCGATCCTTACCAGCTCAATCGCATGAAATTGTACAACTCTTCTCAATCAGCCCTCAGCACTTCCAGACGTCTTGCTCTCGGTCAGGCGAATCATGGAACCTCATGAATTCTCTAGCCATCCTTGAATTATGCAGATCTCTCTCTTTCTCTCTCTTCTCTCTCTCTCTCTAGCATTGGTTTAAAATTAATAAAGGCCTTAGGTTTTATAAAAAAAGGTCTGAAATAAATGATGTCGAACTGTATTCATATTCATAGCTGATTTATATGGCTTTTAGAAGATTTGGTCAACTTTCACCAATTTTTTATTTTTCTGAATATTTTAAGATATAAATCTAAATTTTCAATAATCTATCTTTTTATATACATTTTTGGACTTTTAATGATTTTTATTAGTTATTTTACTATTTTCAATTTTAATTATTTTCATAGTTTTATCATACAGAATCATAGACAGATAAAAATTTCATGCGATTTTCTGTTGTATTTGTTTTGCTTATTATATTACTCACGATCTTAGTTTATTGAGCAAAAAAATGTGTAATTTGAGTATCCAAAAGTGAAATGGTGTGTAATAATTAGGTAATTGATGCGCCCGGTGTTGGCGAGGTAATGGTATCAGATGATGCAGAGTACAAGAAGGGGGATTGGGTTGCTGATTTCATTGGATGGCAGGAGTACAGTGTCATTCATGGAGGAGAAACCATGCGAAAGATTGAGACCAAAGAATTCCCCTTATCGTATCACGCTGGAATTTTAGGTAATGCAGTCAAAATATCTTTAGGATTATTTATTTATTTATTTAAGGATACCCCTCAAAATCAACTCAAAAGCTATTCTATCCACCAATAATCTTTGGTATCGTACTCAACTTGGATAATGTCTGTTTTTAGAATATTGTAAAAACCTCCAATACCATACTTTCTATGAAACTTACCCCAACTTAATTTTTTAGCTTTTTTTTTTTTTTCAAGACAAACTTTCTATGCAAATACCCCTAAAAAAAAAAGTTCATTTTTTGTTAGACGGATTTCATACACAAAAATCATTTTGTTCATATTTCACGTTGACTTTTGGACCCCACTAGCACATTGCCAGTATGCACAAGTGGACCCCCCTAAAATAACTATCGGACCGAAATTGAGTATTTTCGGATAGCCTTTTATATAGTGCTGGAGTGCTCGAATCCATTAATATCTACTGCCAGATCGCCCTTTACAACTGTCGGACCGCACTTTACACAGTGTTAGAGCCCTATTGCCGGACCATAGTTACATAATGCCGAATCCTATTTTGGTGGGATAGAGGATAGAGAGGCATAGGTAAAGTAAGTAAAAGAGGGTAGTTTAGGTTTTTATTTATTTAATTGAGGGTATTTGCATAGAAAGTGTATTTTGGAGGAAAAAGTATGAGAAAAAGTTAGGTTGGGGTAAGTTGTATAGCAAGTGTAATCTTGAGGTTCGTTTTATTTTATTTTTTTAATTTTTAATTTTTATTTCTTTTTGTTATTTCTCCTCCTTTACACTATCCATTAAATCTCTCTCTCTTTCAAAAAATACAGTCGGACCGGCTTCTGGAAATTCAGAAGTGTTGTGACCAAATTGAAGTAAAAAAAAAAAAACAAAAGCGGTTCGGCACAAAAGTGTGCCAGACTGGCTTCTAGAATTCCACAAGCCTTGTGGCTAGTCTGGCACCCTTTGTGTTGGATCGAAGCAAACAATTTCCGTCCAGCACAAAAGTATGTCGGACCAGCCACGAGGCTTAAGGAATTCCAGAAGCTAGTACAATACACTTTTGTACCATTCTGTTTTTTTTTTTTGTCAAAGATTGGTGAGTTCTTTTGTCATAATCTTTATTTTATATTTTCCCTTTTTGAAATGCCCCAAACCATAAATCAGTTTATTGTTTCTACTCTATTTTTTTTCTACTTTTAAACTTATTCTAACTCTAAAGTTAGTTTTGGTTTTATTCTATTTTTATAAAAAATTTGGATTTTTCAAATGTATGTTATTTTTTCCTAAGTTTTTAGGGATTTTTTTACCACTCCATAACTCGTTTATGTCCAGCAGACTTGGCCGAATAACTCACCTCAACCTCCAGAATAACTCACCTCAGCCTCTGCACATTAATTGCAATTGTTGAAATTAATGCATCTATTATGTGACAATGTTGAAATTGGTAAGAGATATCTCAACTTTACCCTGTTTTTATGCAGGGTTTAGTGGGTTTACTGCATATGTTGGTTTTCACCATATATGTAAACCCAAGAAAGGTGATCGTGTGTTCGTTTCTGAGGCCGCAGGATCGGTGGGAAGCCTAGTTGGGCAATATGCAAAACTTGCAGGTTGCTACACTGTTGGTTGTGCCTGAAGCAAGAAAAAGGTTTTGTTCAATTACTTTTCTGTGATAATTCTCGGGTTTAGTAGGGTTCAGATTTGGGGCCAGAGGCATTGTTAGGGTTTTATTCAATCTCCAGAAAACACAAGCAGTTTCTGGGTTTGTTAGGAATATCTTCGAAAATAAACATCATGGGTTTATAAAATTTTATGATATTATTATGATGTTTTGGAGATGCAGGTTGATATGCTGAAAGACAAGTTGGGTTTTGGTGATGCATTCAATTACAGGGATGAGCCTGATCTAAAAGCAGCACTAAAACGGTGCATCTCTTTTGTTACTATAGGATATTTTGAGCAACTTTCATGAAGGGGCTAGAGTATTCTGATTTCTGAATGATTTTGGACAACACAGAAATTGAACTTTAAGGATGAAACCAGAGGGACTTTTAATCCAAATCAGTGCTTCAAAAAGCGGATAGGATTGTGCGGTTTGAATTGGAGCATGTAGGGTACTCACCCAAATCATAAAACCCCAGGACTGGCCCGCTTCCTACCAGTTATATTTTTTATTATCTTTTAATTTCTATAAAACATTTTCATGGTGAACAAGGTCCAAACTGGCCAGTCCACCGATCTAACTCGGTTCGGGCCATGAGTTGGGTTTCAAAAACATTGATTATAATCTATTTAGCTAATATTATTGCGCTATGCACCTTCTATTAATCTCGAACATCTCATCTAACCACAAGTTAGAAGCTATTGGAAAGACAATCTACAATTTCTCCCCTCAAAAATTAGGCATAAAAAACTGTGTTAGCTTTTTACACAGAAAAAATTGGAAGTTTCCCTCCACCAAGTTTCAAAAAAATTACTAGAAGGTGCAAGTATAAAAAAGTTTAATTAGGAATTCTTCATGGATATCTTAATAAAGACTCAAAATTATAGTGCCTTCTTATGGGAAAGGAAATTTGAAGTGCCAGATATAACAAGTGATTGAACTTGGTTTTTCATCGAGAATTCAAGTGTGGAAACATTTTGCATGTAGCTTTTATGTATCCTCTAGACCAGTTTACCTTTTAGGGGCGAGGCCAATTTGTTCCGAGTTCTATGTATAACTCCCAAGTTGTGGTTTCTGGCCCTGTGCAGTACTCAGGCGAGTCCGAGACTGGGACAGGGCCGAGAACCTGGCGTTAGGCGTGTTTCTAAACGCTATTCTTTCCACATGAAGATTCTCACTTCTACTTAATTATTTTGTTTAGAGTCTTACACATGAAGATTTTCATCTACTCTTAATGAGTTTATCTACAGGCATTTCCCTGATGGAATTGACATATACTTTGACAATGTTGGAGGAGAGATGTTAGAGGCAGTTGTGGCCAACATGAACTGTTTTGGTCGCATTGGCATGTGCGGTGCCATTTCAGACTACACTAACTCTAGCAAGACCGCAGCATTTGACACAGTGGACATAATCTACAAACGCGTAACAATTCAAGGTTTCCTTCTAAACGATTACAAAAACATCTACCCGGAATTCATGAAGGCCACCGTTGATTATTTGTGTCGAGGGAAAATTCATGCCGTCGAGGACATCTCTCAGGGCCTCGAGAGCGTGCCTGCAGCTTTTGTGGGGCTCTTCCATGAAGACAATACAGGGAAGAAACTTGTCCAAGTGACTCATGATTGAAGGTGAGCAAGTAGTATGATGGCTCATTCTTGCCTAAGGCCGTTGTGTTTATTGTAGTGTTTGCTTTTACTTGACTACTTAATCAATATTGTGATGCTAGTATCCCAGTCTTTCTTTGGTCCATTGCTTTGGCACTATGTAGGAACTTCTTAATCAATATTGAGAGGTGATGTTGAGTTTGGGTGAGACAGTTGACTTAGTTTACGGAAAAGTTTATAGAGAGCTGAGGCTTTAAACAATTAAATTAGAATCCATCTAAAAAATTTCACCAAAAGAGGTTGTTTTGATGCTCAAATATCTTCAAATTGATTATCTCGACATCAAGATGCATGGACATGAGAAAAAAATGGATTTCAAGTTTTGAAAATATTACATCTTGTATTCCATTTTTTGACCGTCAATTTTCAAGATTTTCAAGTTTTTATAGATCTATTAGATCCACTATTTTGAAGGTTAAAATTTTATAATTAAAGATGAAAATATATTTTAAGGCTATCACAAATATTTCCAATATTGAAACCATATTTCTCAACACTATTTAAAGGTGCGTTTTACTTTGATTATTTAGAGCCTCGGAACTATAAAAACCGCACCCTTTACTTTAATGTGCAGGCTGCTTTTGCACTTTGCAGAACTACTCGATATTTCATTCATGGAGGTGCTATGCCCTTCTAATATTTCTTCTGTCTTCTATTACTCTACATTATCTTTTACCAATTAAAAATTATACTCATTGTGTAGCCATTTTCTTGCATATTTTTCTATTAAAATGAAATGATATAATGATGCATACATACATGATCACCCATTTCAAAAACACATAATCATTTAGGAATTTTTGAGTTACAAAATATGTGTTTATTTACATGAATGTTCATTCTGTTTATATGTACTCTCTATTGTGTATTTTACATTGCTACGTGCAATGCACGTAATCCAACTAGTGCAATGTATGATCTACAATTGCACTCATATTAAGCAATGTTAAGAAAAACAGTGATTTGGATTGTAATCGTCCAATTCGGATCGAGAATTGGCCGAGCTGGTCTGCTTCCCACAAAATATTTGGAGCGGGCTGGTTCTATTGGCCAGAATTGGTCCCACATTTTTATTCTTTAAATTTTCAATTTTTTTGTTCTATAATTGTTTATCAGAATTGGTTTTCTAAATAGGTGATCCGAGTCTTTCATCCGGTTTTTTAAACCTTGTGCTTAAGCAACAAATATTCAAGCATAATAATAGACCTTAGTGATATAGGAATCGAAACCTATGCATAGCAAAGATTTTAAGTCATGAAGTTTAGGCTTATTTTATGACAATATTAATAGATACTCATATTTGGTCTTTACCACTGTTAATGGACCCAGCGAATAACTCAGCCTTTACAAACGGCTGACACAAGTTTGTCCCAACTCACCTAGAAAGTTGGATAAGGTGATCTAGCACGATGTATACAATTTTTAATTTTTTTTCTTATCGATTAGAACATTTATAATAATTTAATTATAATATATTCAATTCAAAAGAAAAGAATAAATAAAGAATTGGTTATCACTTGCTGTCTCTATTTACGACTTTCTTTTATTAAATGAATCTCATATGGGCCCCACATGGCCTCCCTCCAAACATATTTGAGATTTTTTTTAAAACAATTGGATTTTTAGAATATGTGAAATAGGTTTTACTTTTCTCTAAATATTAAATACTAAAATTGAATGTTTCTTAAATTTGTAAGTACATTTTGCAAAAATAAAATATCCAAAGCTATATAAAAATTCAAATAATTATTTTAAAAATCAATTAACATCAAAATAAATAAAATGAAATAATTTTGAAGGGAATAGGATCATTTTAGATTTAGAAATTAATAATTCTAAAGGACTTCATCTTCTACTGTGCATTATAATCTACACTTACTGTCTTAAATTGATCCAACAGTTCCCATGACTCACATGCCTCTGCAATGGTTCATTATTGGGCTACCAAAGTCAGCTAATAGACAAAGATATATAATCTCAGTCTGTAGATTACAGGTTCTCCCCTAGATACGAACCCATGATCACCTAGACCAGATGCACCCACAGCTCTATGGTGCAAAAGGGTAACATCTCGCAAATGTGTGCACTGCACCCTCAATAATGTCTTTTTTTTTCCTGATATGACTATCATATGCATATGCCATGTGATGGTTCATTGACGAGGCTTTGGCCTTTATCTCTAGAGGCCAACCATCATACACAAGGGTCACATAGTCCCTTGTCTCACTCCTCTAGGGAACTCCAACATCATCAAGGGATAACCCGTAAACTCCCATTGGTTGTGCTCTACACCCAGGTATTTCAGGGTTTTTCAATTCGACTGGCCTAGCTCATAAAGCCAAGTCTGAGTATTGACAAATAACATTTTCCTATCTCGGTCCCTTTGGACCATAATCTCTTGGTCCCTCAGGACTATACTCCCACTGGAGTTATTTGCTCCATTATATTAGATATTGATTACATGCTCTCATAAGGCCTTTAATGGTCACAAAACCCTACGCACCCTTTATAAAAACTCTTAAAAATTAATAAATTTGTAAACAAATTACTAATACATAATCTAGAAAAATGTTTTTATATGATTTTTATTTTATGATGATTTGGGAAATTTTCTGATTACATGATCAAATTTTTGCTCGTTTTTTATTGGCTTGAAATATTTCAAATATAAATCATTTATTGCAAATAATCCATCTCTTATATACTTAATTCAACTTTCAATTACCACCGTAACTTTGGAAAAAGTTTCTATAAGATTGTAGGCTTAACGAGTAGAATTAAAGATGCACCTCATAAATCCACCATAAAAGGTTATTTCAATTTTGGAAATCCCTTAAATTGATCATCTCGACATTGAGATGGATGGGTATGAAAAGAAAAAAGGTTTTCGAGTATGCAAAATCGTGTATCTTGCAACACACTATCTGGACTGTCCATTTTCAAGATTTTATTGTGTTTATAGATCTACTTGATTTGAACCACTTTAAAATATTATAATTAGAGATGAAAATAGATTATCAAGCTATCCTAACAATTGATATCCAAATTATGTTTATGATAAAATTTAGAGGTGTATCTTTATTAGATTATTTAAAATTACAACCTTATGCAAACCATACCCTTTAACTATTTCTATTACTTATTTTGATTTTTGCTATTTTTCATTATTTTTAAAATTTTTATATTTTATTTTTGGGTTTTCTGGACCTTTGTTGGGCTTGCACGTGATCCAACCGAGTCCACTTTGCCGTTATTAGTTATACATTTGATATTAGGGAAAAGTTTATATAGCGCCGAGGCTCTAAACAATCAAATTTGAGCCTACTTCAATAATTTCATTAGCAGATGTTGTTTTGATGCCCAAATATCTTCAAATTGATCATCTCGACATCAAGATGCATAGACATGAGAAAAAATTGGATTTTAAGTTTTGAAAATAGTGTATTTGGTAATACATTTTTAGACCATGAATTTTCAAGGTTTTATAGATCTGTCGATCTACACTATTTTTGAAGCTTTAAACTTTATAAATAAATATGAAAATATATTTTAAGGTTATCAAAAAGATTTCCAGTTGTGAAACCATATTTCTCGACACTATTTAAAGGTAGGCTCTAATTTGATTGTTTAGAGCTTAGGCTCTATACAAACCGCACCGATATTATCCTCTCCATTTAATCAAAATATCTAAGCTCTAAACAAACCGCACCGATATTATCCTCTCCATTTAATCAAAATATTGGTTTATTAAATTGAAACGTGATGTAATTATTGGTAATCCGTAGCTAATAGGGAAAACTAAGGTTTTAAAATTCAGCCATTTGGATCGGAATCGTTGAGGGCGATTCAGATATCAAACCGTGTCCGGTCCTTACCGATTTGGTGGCAGAGAACCCATATGCTTACCATATTTTTTTCAAAATCTTGAATTTGGTACTCAAGAATCGGATGTTTTCCATAGTTTTTTCAAAATCTTTAATTTGGTACTCAAGTATTCATTTAAAAAGTACATGGCACTACAACATTATTATGTACCTGCAATATGGGAACACATACACATGCAGGGCCTAACCTTTCCTGTGGGATATTTCCTTTGAGCCTCTTTTTTTGATAACTTCCTTTGAGCTTTTAACCTCTCTCTCGGACTTTGAGCTATTAATCTCTCTCTCGGACTTTTGTATCAGGAAACTGATGTCTATCTCACATATACAAGGAAATTATCGTCTACAAAATGAATGGTCTACAAACTAAAATTTTTTAGATTAATTATATTCATTTTTCTTTTTTATAATTAACATAAAAGAAAGTACATAGAATTAAGTTTTAATTACATATAGTTATAAAAAAGAAATTACATATAATAAATTTACATGAATTACTATAATTATATGAAATTTTTGTTTATTTATGTTAATAACTTAATATAATTATGATAAACTTATGTCAGTATAATTATATGAATATGATCATATTAAAATTATGCCAATATTATTATGTTGAATGAATATATATTTATGTAAAAATTGTTAACTCATTTATTATAATAATGTTAAAATTGTTATTGCTATATTGAAATTTTTATTGTTATAAATACTTTAAAACATCACATAATTTAATATACTAAATTGGTATATTATTTAATATTGTTTTTTGTTATATAGAATATGTTATTTTGTATTTAAATAGATTGTAATTTTAAATTAATATATTTATGACTTTTAAGAATATTAACAAATAAATTATTGTTAATTTGTTATTATAATAGTTTATTTTGTACAACAATAGAAATTTAATATAATTTTAAATTGTATGAAATTGTTATATAGAATTGTATTGAATTGTTATATAGAATAATGAAATAGGTTCTCAATATTTGCCCTTTTTTTATACAATAATTAAAAACCATGATGCAATTACTACTATTTTTAAAAAAATCTAACAAACTAGATTTTTAAGAAATTATAATAACTTTTTTGAAATTTTTTTCGGTCTAAACCGGCCTATTTTTCGATCCGGATCACCGATCCCCTGATCCAATACAGTTTCAGTTGCCCGATCCGATTGACCGATCCATTTAAAAACCTTGATGCGGAGTACACTTAGGGTGACTTTGTTACAGTTCCCTTGAGATGGCAAAGTATAGTATCATT